TGATGGTTTGTGTATTTGCTAAATGGTTTATGAATACACTAAATTAAAGAGACAGCATTAAAATATTTATAATCGAAATTATTATAAAAAACAACTAAGTTTTATATTCGGCCGAATCTTATATACATTTCTGCATAGTAGTGAAGGGCAAGCATGGAAAATTCAGTACTTTTTACAGTACATTTGATATCGAGGTACCCCACATGATTTTTAGTACTTCTACTAACTGATACAAATTTGATAATTTGTTGTGTCTATAGTCTAGTCTATAGTCTAGTCTATAGTCTAGTCTATAGTCTAGTATAGTCTAGTCTATAGTCTAGTCTATAGTCTAGTCTATAGTCTAAACTATAGTCTAGTCTATAGTCTAGTCTATAGTCTAAACTATAGTCTAGTCTATAGTCTAGTCTATAGTCTAGTCTATAGTCTAGTCTATAGTCTAGTCTATAGTCTAGTCTATAGTCTAGTCTATAGTCTAGTCTATAGTCTAGTCTATAGTCTAGTCTAGTCTATAGTCTAGTCTATAGTCTAGTCTATAGTCTAGTCTATAGTCTAGTCTATAGTCAGTCTATAGTCTAGTCTATAGTCTAGTCTATAGCCTAGTCTATAGTCTAGTCTATAGTCTAGTCTATAGTCTAGTCTATAGTCTAGTCTATAGTCTAGTCTATAGTCTAGTCTATAGTCTAGTCTATAGTCTAGTCTATAGTCTAGTCTATAGTCTAGTCTATAGTCTAGTCTATAGTCTAGTCTATAGTCTAGTCTATAGTCTAGTCTATAGTCTAGTCTATAGTCTAGTCTATAGTCTAGTCTATAGTCTAGTCTATAGTCTAGTCTATAGTCTAGTCTATAGTCTAGTCTATAGTCTAGTCTATAGTCTAGTCTATAGTCTAGTCTATAGTCTAGTCTATAGTCTAGTCTATAGTCTAGTCTAGTCTATAGTCTAGTCTATAGTCTAGTCTATAGTCTAGTCTATAGTCTAGTCTATAGTCTAGTCTATAGTCTAGTCTATAGTCTAGTCTATAGTCTAGTCTATAGTCTAGTCTATAGTCGTCTATAGTCTAGTCTATAGTCTAGTCTATAGTCTAGTCTATAGTCTAGTCTATAGTCTAGTCTATAGTCTAGTCTATAGTCTAGTCTATAGTCTAGTCTATAGTCTAGTCTATAGTCTAGTCTATAGTCTAGTCTATAGTCTAGTCTATAGTCTAGTCTATAGTCTAGTCTATAGTCTAGTCTATAGTCTAGTCTATAGTCTAGTCTATAGTCTAGTCTATAGTCTATAGTCTAGTCTATAGTCTAGTCTATAGTCTAGTCTATAGTCTAGTCTATAGTCTAGTCTATAGTCTAGTCTATAGTCTAGTCTATAGTCTAGTCTATAGTCTAGTCTATAGTCTAGTCTATAGTCTAGTCTATAGTCTAGTCTATAGTCTAGTCTATAGTCTAGTCTATAGTCTAGTCTATAGTCTAGTCTATAGTCTAGTCTATAGTCTAGTCTATAGTCTAGTCTATAGTCTAGTCTATAGTCTAGTCTATAGTCTAGTCTATAGTCTAGTCTATAGTCTAGTCTATAGTCTAGTCTATAGTCTAGTCTATAGTCTAGTCTATAGTCTAGTCTATAGTCTAGTCTATAGTCTAGTCTATAGTCTAGTCTATAGTCTAGTCTATAGTCTAGTCTATAGTCTAGTCTATAGTCTAGTCTATAGTCTAGTCTATAGTCTAGTCTATAGTCTAGTCTATAGTCTAGTCTATAGTCTAGTCTATAGTCTAGTCTATAGTCTAGTCTATAGTCTAGTCTAGTCTAGTCTATAGTCTAGTCTATAGTCTAGTCTATAGTCTAGTCATAGTCTAGTCTATAGTCTAGTCTATAGTCTAGTCTATAGTCTAGTCTATAGTCTAGTCTATAGTCTAGTCTATAGTCTAGTCTATAGTCTAGTCTATAGTCTAGTCTAGTCTAGTCTATAGTCTAGTCTATAGTCTCGTCTATAGTCTAGTCTATATCTAGTCTATAGTCTAGTCTATAGTCTAGTCTATAGTCTAGTCCATAGTCTAGTCTATAGTCTAGTCTATAGTCTAGTCTATAGTCTAGTCTATAGTCTAGTCTATAGTCTAGTCTATAGTCTAGTCTTTTTAGTTTACTATAATACTAAACCTAGAAATATGAAATTAATCATATAGAGCCGGATGAGAACCTAAACGACGGGACTTTTTGGAACTTTTTTGTTCTTCAAGGGTAATTTTCAATTTTCTATAATATTGAACTAAAAAACGTAAGTTTATATAGATATTAGGGATGCCAATCCCGAAATCCCGATCCCGAAAATCCCGGGATTTTTCGGGATTGGCAAATCCCGAATCCCGGGATTTGGAAAATAAATCCCGGGATTTTTTCGGGATTAGAATATCCCGAAACCCGGGATTTTTCAAAATAAATCCCGGGATTTGTTTCAAAAACTGTTTTTATTTTCTTTTTTTGAGCCATAATTTTCATTAACTTGAAAATTACGATCTTATTTTATTTTCGACTCATGCAAAACTAAATTCCGCAGAGCTAATTTTATACATATTTAAACCTTTTATTTTTTAAAGTGGTATGATTCCATACACATAGCACATATAAATTTATTTATTCACTTCGTTTTTATACCCTACACCACTTTAGTGGGGAGGGTATATTGGGTTTGTGCTGATTTTTGTTATGCACAATAATATTGGTCCTATACCCACCTTAAAGTATACCAATCGGCTCAGAATCATTTTCTGAGTCGATTAAGCTATGTCCGTCCGTCTGTCCGTCCGTCCGTGTAAACCTTGTAATCAAACTACAGCAATTTTGAAGATAATTCTATAAAATTTTGCATGATCTTCTATTGTACTAGAGACGGATCCTATTGAAAATGGGTAACATCGGTCCAATACTTGACCTAGCCCCCATACAACTGAACCCTCCGAATAGGGCTTTTAAGTTCATAATTATGTTTAATATACTCGTATCTCGACAAAAAGCTGCAAAGCCAAGTTCTATACTAGCGTTCATGACCCTGATGTATTTTTTGATGATACGGCCTCATTTGACCCTAGCTCCTATACAAAGCCCCCTTCGAAATATGACTTAAATGTACACAATTTTATTCAACAAAAAATAGCTAAAGTATATCTGAGGCAAGGTACAATTCAACTTAGATGCTTTATTATGAACAATAAATCACATTTTATTTTATAACTGGTGTTGGGTATTATAAGGTAGGCTTCGCCCAACTATAACTTCTTACTTGTTAACACATCGAAATGTTGGTCGTAGACCGACCCAAAAAGTATACACATTCTGTATCTGTAAGCTAAAAACACGAGTTAGAAGACTCATTCCATTTGTGATGCAAATTTGGACCAAAATTGACACAAGAAAACCTAATTGGACCTCCTCTGAAAATCACATTGATGCTGATATTAATATCAATACATTACAATATTTTGATGGTGGGTATTTAATTTCGGCACAGTCGAATACAAACTTTATTTTTCAATACTAGAGGATTTTACATTTCTAACTTTCTACAAACCTGAGTGATACCGGTAAAGGTAAATTACCTTGTTCTGAATGCACATAAAATTTTAAATTAATACTACGAATATAATAACATGTTCCAAAACTAACATGTATTTTGTGTAAAGTTCCAAATATTTTTCAAAGAATAGGTTCTAAATTGATGTACGGATAATTGAATTGGTATCTGTTATAATTATTAGTTCACATGGAACAGTATGAGGTTTTAAAAAGTGCTTATGTCTAATTTCGGAACTTGATATTTATTTAGGAAGGAAGTATGTATTTAAAAAGTTTCAGAAATTATGCAATTCTGAAAGTTTTTATTTAAAAATTGGAATTAATTGGATTGTTTTAATTTAAATATATCTTCTGTCTGCTAAATTTCCACAAAATTAAACAATTTTCTTTACAAATATGATGATTTAAAGATTTTCATATATAAAATAAATAAATTCATGTAATCCCGAAATACCGTAAAATCCCGAAATACCGAAAAATCCCGGGATCCCGAAAAATCCCGGGATCCCGAAATATCCCGGGATCCCGGGATTGCAATTTTCAAAATCCCGAATCCCGGGATTTGTAAAAGCCAGTCCCGTTTGGCATCCCTAATAGATATAGACAAGACAGACAAACAGACATACTCGAAATACTTTAAGGTGGATGTAGGACCAATATTTTTGTGCGTTACAAACATCAGCACGAACGCATAATAGGGGTGTTTAAACAGTTCGACATACAAGTACTTAATAAATGATTTTATTTTATAAATAAAACACAAAGAATTATTATTTATTTATTCAAACGCTTTATTGAAACGAAATTTCTTTTTCTTTATATATATTTTTTTTTTTTGATACGTGCCACCAGTTGTTGTTATAGTTGAAGGATAATGTCAGCGCCCAGTGGATATAAGGTGAGCACACAGCTTGACATTAACATTAAAATTAGTAATTTGTTTGTTGTGTGTGCTAATGTTTAGATATTTTTTTTTAAATTCACTTATTATATATACATTTAAAATTAATTAACAATAATAATAATTAAAAATAACTTAACTAACACTAAGAATAATAAAAATAAAAAAATAATAATATTAGCAATAATTAAGATTTCTAATATATAAATGAACCATATGCCAATGTTTACATTTTAATTCATTATTATGTTTTTCTTCTAGAGATAAATTTAAAAAAAAAATTGATTTTTTTTATTTGTAAAAAAAAACAAATTTTGAAGAATAATATGATTAAAGAGGTTAATGGCTCTTATAAAGAGTTTAAAATTAAAGAATAATAATTATTTTATAATATTTTTCATAAAGATCTATATAAATTTAAAGTAAAAAAATTCAGACATGCTTACGACTGTTGAATGACAGCAGCTGTGATGATAGTGTAGAGTAGGGATGATAACCCAGGCTGCTAATTGCTGTTATAGTTAATCAGGCTGGACTTCGTTTTTACAGACTAACCGGTAGGGCTGAGTTTAGAGTTTTTCTGTTTAGCAGCTAAATGTGATGTTGGGTTAACTCTGGCTGGGCGGCATCATAGTGTTGGTTTCTCTTTAGTAAATTTTCTCAGAGAAAAAACAAACATTTATTAGTTTTAATTTTTTTGGTTTGATTTGTGTTGTGCGTGTGTTTTGTTTTTAGTAATAATACTAATGTTAACAATTATTTAAGTTGGCCAAAAAAAAAAATTTGTGTTTTTTCTTTTTTTTTTCGAATAAAATCTTTCCTTAAACATTACAATATATCAAAAAAATTGTTTTTGTTTTTAACAAAAAAAAGAATAAATAGACATTACAACATTAAAAACAATAAATAAATAAAAAAATTAAAAAAGAAAAATTTTAAACAAAAAAAATTTTTTCAAACAAATTGTTAGTGAACAAAGAGCAATAGAGAGAGTATGTAGGGAGTGGGAAGTCTGCTTTTTCTAACATATAAAGGGTAGTTAACCATGGTTTATTATTAAAGAAAGGAAAAAGGATTATGTTATTTAGTTGTTGTTGTTTTTAGGCTATTAAATGAAGTTAAAGGGTTTTATTTTATCATCACTTTTAGTTTTAAAGTTCTGGGGAGTGGAGTTGGTTTAATTATTTCTAAGAGAGTCTTTGTTATTTTATCAATTTATCCCTTTGTTAAGTCCTTAAACTAAATCACTGATATTTTTTATTTTTTTTTTTTAATAATTTTGTATTTTTTTTTTTAATTGCCAGTTTTTCATTTTCACTTCTTTTTTAAAATTTTTTTATAGATTTTCATTTATTGAGATATTTTTTAATTTAATTAGACCGCTTTGTTGTTGTATTTATTACTGCTTTACTTTTGTTTTATAAATTTTAAATTTTTGTTTTAACAACTCCTTGGCTTGTATGTTTTTAACTTGAAGTGAAAGCTTTTTAAATTAGTTTTAATCCAGGGACTTGCATAAGTACTTTTGGTCTTAGTTTAACGAATATTTTAAACTATTTTTATGATTTACTTGTCTGTGATGTTGGGGACTTTATATTACCCTGCAGCTGCATGTTTCCTTTATATTATTGTATAAAAATTGATCGAACATTTTCCTTTTTGTTGTAAAATTTCCAAATTTTTAATAATTTTTTTTAAATATTAGAATTTTAATACTTTTGCAATCTTTCATTTTCATTATTTTCCTTAAATGTTGTTAATTCGGTAATTTCTTTTTTGAAGTTGTTTAATCATTCCTCGGAACGGGCTAAAACTTTTAAACAACTTGAGTTTTAGAAATATGAATCAGCTAAGAAATCCTTGCTGATTTCCAAATTTCGTAGGTTATTTGACTGCGGAAACCTTTATCTTAAGATCCTAAGAAAAATTCAATCATAAAAGAATAATTCATATTGCAGTAGGTTCGAAAGAAACCAATATTTCAAAGATTATTTAAGATGTGAAGCAGCAAATGTTAAGATAATTTCATAGGTCGATGGTTTGCGAAGAAGATTACTTTATGTGCAAGCTATATGACTTTGAAATCTAATCATCAGCCAAAACTGGAACATTTAATTGAGACCTTAAAAAAATTGTCATGATTTCATTCCGAGGACTTCTATTTTGAAGACACGATGATAATTGATTCAATATTTTGCTATTTTAATTGATTTCCGAGATTCTGCATTTCCTTTTTGTACACTATTCGTTTATCATTATTAAACATCAATCAACTTCTAAACTTGACCTTTCATTTATATATTATGCCATATCTATAGTTCCAAGGCGATTTAAATATTATAGGTCCTTCGAATCAAATACTTAAGTATCTCTAGGCAGTTTTCATAGTATTAAAGATTTCAATCAAGTTTTGGTACTTCGAATCAAATTCCTAAGTATCTCTAGGCAGTTTTCATAACATTTTGTAGATTTCAATCAAGTTTTGGTCCTTCGAATCAAATATTCCATATAACCTTTGAAATACTTTTGTATTTAATGCTAGAATTCCGTTAGTTATTTTTGCACAGCTTTCAGTAACTGTTTCTAAGATGCTATAGATTTCCCAACATCGTTGATCCTTCGAGCCGGAATTACGAAATTGTAGACAGACATTCAGTGAGATATTTACTTTAATAGCAAACTGCAAACAAAGAAATATACTCAGGTTTCCATGCATCAGTTGTTTTCATTCCTTGAGCTTCAAAAAGGCCATAAAAAAACATTCCAGCTGGACCTGCTGCAAACACATGGCTCGTCAAGTCTATAAATGACTTTATCTGACGTATACCCAGCCATGCATAGAAAGCATTCATTTGGGGTTGGTTCATTGAAGTTTAGTTTAAGTTTGAAATAAATACTAAATATAGTAAATATTTCTTATGACGAAGTTTCACGTAGTTAATTTCCGAACATGAGGATGTACAAACGAAAGATTGTTATTGAATATGTTGAAATTATGTTATTAATCCAGAATTAACGTAGTTTAGGTTTGAATTTAGTAAAAAAAATCACCATTAACTTTCGAGTAGAAATGTTCAATATAAGATTTTGGGAAAAATAAATATTTAAATAAATAATTTATAGCAATTAGAGCACACAAAAAAGTCATTGATATTAAAAAAAAAACACTTTTTTCAATAATTTGCTTTAGAGGGGGCCGTTGTATATGATAATAAAAATAACAAGTCCAAAGTGTAGAGAAAATTTTAGCTTAAAGGGAATAAATTGATATTTTTTTTTCATATTTTTTGAAAAATGTTGAAAACATTTTTAATTTTTCTGCATTTGTAGATAAAATTGGGTTTTTTTTAACTTTTCTGTTCTGGTTTTCTTAATTGGTTTTACGAATAGAGAACGCTGTTTGTTTTTATAAATCTGTACATATTTTGTTTTTGATTTTTCTGCTTAAAAAAAAAAGAGTTGTAACTGTTTTGTGTTACATGGAAATGGAGGTTTCTTTGGGGGGGGGAGTTGTGGCCTCTATTAAACATAACGTTGGTTGCTGTTGTTGTAATCACAATTAAACAGTTTACTCTTTTAATGATTGTTATATTATTTCCTTAACGTTGTTTTAGACGACGTTGTTTTTTGTTTTGTTTTACTTATTAATTGCTTCATATCGCTATAGTTGAAGCAACTTTACAATCAATTTGTGTTTCATCAGCACCTACAAATGGTAAACTAAAACCAGTCAACCATTCTTTACATTTATCATGCGATTCAAATGCCAACAATTCGGTTATATAATCAATGCTAATGTTGGGACGATAACTGTAAGAAAAAGCGAAAATATTTTCTTTAATAGATAAGCATTAAGGCTGAAATGAATTTTCGAAATTAAGTTCAAATTTTCGAAAATATTTAATATTAAATAAGTTTACTGCAGTACTCGTGTTCGAATTTTTAAAAATTTGTTAAAAAATATAAAAAACTCTACTTACGACTTAACAATAGTTTTTAAGGCAGCTTTGCGTTCTCTTTCGATAAACCAATCAATAAGATGACCAGCCATTAATGGTGCAGTTTTATATAAACGAAATAGTTTACAGTAATTGCCCATAGCCCAAGCGGAACGGAACTCCATAGCATGGGCAATGGCAGGATTTTCTCGTTGAGCTTGTGTAATAGAACGTAGAACAGTGGTGGTGTCTAAAAACAATGAAAGCAACAAAAAAACAATATAATTAATAAAAAATTATTAGCAATTTTATAAAATTAAAATCAAACCTACCCAAGGTATTTTTTGTAAATATATAATATAGTATACGATAGGCGGTAAATTCTAAAGTATTGGCACTAGTACCAACTTCACTGTACAACATTTTCAGTTGGGTTTGACACTGATTGAATTCTTCATGATCACCCTTTTCCATGGCAATGCGGGCATGTGTTTCATATACTTCCACCGTAAATGTATCACGTATACCTTGGACCTGTAATCATTAAAACAAGTTAAAACAATTCTAGTTTAAATTTTTATGCTAATATTTTACTTACCGTTAAATCTTGTCTTATTGATTTCAATTGATCACAAGCATAGAAATAATCCTGATTACTACGCCATTTTTGTTTGACATTTTCCAATGAATGTACCAACACTTCAACGGGTCTCACTTCACAGGGAGCTGGCGCTTTGGTCAAACGCAAAAAGGACTTTTCCAAATCACGACACGTACCAACGATGTGTAAATCGAAAAGATCTATATTTTCACCATTTTCCGTATCGTCCATATACAAACGCGAATTATTGAATTTTTTAGCATTTTTACTATTACTAGCCTTATTGGTTTGTGTAAAGGGAGAGCTGGCTACAGATACTACGGTTTTCTTATTACCGCTTTGTGAAAAACGTGCCGCTCTTTGTTGGAGACGTGCAGAATCATCATCTACAGCGCCACCAATCGAAGAAGAATAGAAGGGAGCTTTCGATTTACCACTACTACTACCATTTGCAGTGATAGAATCGTGTTTTTTATTCTTTTTATTTTGAAGTTTCTGTTGTTTTTTACTGAGAAAAGATGCGTTGTTGGAGGAGGAGGAAGAGGAAAGTGGTATAAAACCAGAGGAAGACGACGAAGAAGATGAGGAACGACGCATTTTGCGTGGACGCGTGGGAGACGAAGACGATGAACGTGAACGAGAACGCGAGCGCGATGTACGTTTATTACGATATTTAGACGAAGAGGGTGAACTGTAAAGTATAAATTTGAGAAAATAGGGTTTTGTTGGTTTAAATTGTTAATTTTTTTTAATTTCTATTACAGAATGGGGTGTTGAATGTTTTCGTTTTAGCATGCAGTAGATTGTTGATGATTTTAAAAATGTAAATGTGATTTTGTGATCTTCCTAACCTAAACTTTATTTGAAAGTACGAATCCTTCCTATTATTGTTGAACCTTTTTAACAAAACTAAACTTTATTCAAAAGTACGAATCTTCCAATACAATGATACAGTAACTAAATTTTTACGAATCCTAACATATTACAGATTTTTTTAAAAGCTTTAAAAATTATTCGAACATAACCTTGAATTTTTGAACATATCTTAAAATGCCCATTTTCTGTTGCTATATCGAGATTTACTAAAATTTCGTGCAATTTTATTTATTTTTTAAAACAAAAATAAACATATTCACACATTAAGTCCTTGTATTGCTGCCAATTTACAATATTTTGTAATTTTTAATAATTTTTTTACAAACACAAAGGATTTAAGATGTTTTACTAAAAACTTTAATTCATCTTTATATAAGTTGTCTAGTTTAGTACAGAATTCTATTTATAGCAAATCAAAGGTTTTTCTTCTAAAATCTTTGTATCATATCCTTAAAAGCATAAAGTATTATTGATTACCATAAAAAGTATAAAGTAATACAAATCTGTTCTCTTCCCATTTATAATAGTATGTGAAATGTTTAATATGAAATTGAAATGAAAAATGAAAGCAAACATGCAGTACTTACCGCGACCGACTACGAGAATCCTTGGATTTATTACCGCTACCAAATGAATTACGCTGACCGAGACGTGCATTTAAATTACGCGATAAACCGCCAGCAGCTGATTTATTTTTCAAATGATCCATTGGAATACTAGACTGAAGATTTTTATGATTATGCTGAAACGGATTACGTTGATTTTGTGGCGTCGAAGGTGAATTATTGTTGCTATTATGTAGTTTAACATTGATATTATTACGTTCGCTAAAGACGCTGGGTATGGGTTCATTATCCCAATCGCGAGTCCACAGCTCATTACGATTGGCTGCACCGATAATTTTGCCCTTTAAACAAATATCGATTTGATCCTTATCCAAGTCCGTGGTACATTTGGCATAACAACGAGCCACATAATTATTTAAGGACTCTGGCCAGGCATCATTGGGATTGTGAAAAGCATTAGGTTTCTTAAAAGTCGTAGTAGGGGAGGAATTGTTATTGGCTGTATTGGCAGCAGACATTTGTGGTTGTGTTAAAATAGTATCAGATGAACTCATATCATTGCTGTTAGTCAAAGGTTTGCCAATGGGTGGCGGTGGTTTACTTAAATCCACATTGGCTATAATTGGAGGCGGTGGTGGAGGCGGTATGGAAGTATTTATAAAATCACCACCACCAGCACTAGCGGTTACACCATTTTGCATTTGTAACTGTTGATTTTCTTCAAAATGAGCATCGAATAACGCCTGTTGCTGTTGTTGTATTTGATTTTGTTTATTTTTATTACGTTTACGTTTCTTTTTATTATTATTATTATTGTTATTGGCATTGTTATTTTGATTGTTGTTTTTCATATTATTTTGGAAGTTACCATTGAAATTTGCACCCATACCCTGCTGATGCTGCAGCGGGTTGGGAGCATTTGCCAAACGCGATTGTTGATTCAGATTGAACTTAATGCCACCGAAATTCTTTTGTTGATTATTACCATTACCACTGGGAGGTGGGGGAGGTGGTCCCGAAGGCAGTGGAGGCAAATGTTTATCACCTTGAGGTATTACAGCATTACTAAAACCAGGTGGAGCATTACTATTGGAAATGGTAGAAGTAACACCCGTTTGTTGCTGCTGCTGATTCTTATTCATGCCGTAGCGCATATAGTATTGATAGTAGGGTGAATATTGTTGATGATATTGACCACCATTCTGGTACCAGGCATTATAGCTGGCCCATTGATTGGCTTGCTCCTGCTGGTTACCATTATTGGTGTTAACGTTGTTGGGTTGTTGCTGCATTTCTTGTAGTTGCGGTATCAGAGGTGCCACCAAAGTTTCAGTCATTACAATGTAGCGTAGTAGAAAACAAAGGACTAACCCTCAAAGATATCGATTTTTACGTTTTTTTTCTAACCTCTCAAGTCGCAATAAATTGACACCCTTTTTACTTTCTTTTTGCAATAAAAACTTACCTTTTTATTTTTTTAATAAATTTTTTTCAATGATCTAAAAATAAACAAGAAATTTTTAACAAAAATTAGAAAAATTTTTAGAAAAACTGATAAAATTTTCACAAATTTGTATTTTATATGTAGAGATTTTTTTCTTGATATCCGCCATTTTGTTTTTTTCTAAATACCTTTTATTCTTTTTCTCTGGCAAGTTCTTTTGCTATAAATTTAACTATTTTTTATTATTTAACTTTTTCTGCTTATATTTTTATAACACTTTTTTATTTTAATAAGTTCTATTTTTGGTTTTTAATAATTTTCTTTATAAATTTTTAAAATTTAATTTTCACTTATATTTTCTGGCATGCTCTTTTTCTACGTTTTATCTGCTTGATGACAACTACGAGAATGACGAAAATTTATTGACACTGTGAACAGTAATTGCCAGAGTATAACAGAGTTGCATTTCAGGTAGTAAAACCAACGGGTACATTTTATGAGGGTTAAGAGGATAACACAGGTATATATTTTTCAAAATTAGTTTATAAATTTGTTTGTATTAGCATATTATTAAAACAGGTATGAAATTATATAAATTCTAAGAAACGAAAAAGGCTAATAAGCTTGCTGTTTGCATATATACATATGATTAACTAAACCCTTAAATTTATTAGCAAAAAAAACAAGTAACAAGGTAAAAATATAATAACAAATTATTTTAAAATATTTTTTGAATAATTTTAATTTTCGTAAAAATATATTTAATATTTTGAAAAGTTATCGATTTTCTAAGGAAAATTTTACATAAACTTAATATTTTTTATAAAAAGGAAGTGTATAGAAAACGTTCTATAGAAAAATTATACTTAATAAAATTAATAGAAAATGTTCCATTAAATATGGTCCAAATTTTCCTTACATAGACAATTTAACTATATATAGAAAATATGTTAAAATTTTTCTGTAATTAGAAAATTTACCGAAAAATATTTTTAAATAAAAATTGATGGCATATTTTCTTCATATAAGAAATTTATTGAGAAAGTTTTTTTCTATATAAGGGCTATAAATGTTTTTCTTAAAACATTCTGACGTTTTATGTGTTGGCAGCTATGATAATTTGCCCAACACTGGTGAAGATAAACCAACACTGCTACTAAACACAAGCTAAAAATAACATGTGGCAACTTTATAAAGCCATTTAAAAACAAAAACGAAAATTTTGGCGGAATTCAATTTAGTTTGTGATAGAATATCAAACAATTAAAAATAGTATTTTAGAAAAAATGGATAAATATAGGAAAAAACCACCAACTAGAGCTGATTTACCCCACTTAATGGAGCATGTACCCGATGAACATCAGGATTATGTCAAAGAAATGTGTATGAAAATGATGCAGCATCAGTCCTATGGACAACCGTAAGTAAGATGAAATTGTTTATTTAATAATTTAACTAAATAAATACAAATCGTACAGTTATGAATGGTCTACACGAGATTTTGAGATGGGTGCTCCCTTGGGTAGAGGTAAATTTGGAAGAGTGTATTTGGCTCGCGAACGTACCAGCCATTATATGGTGGCCATGAAGGTGCTATTTAAAGCCGAATTGCAAAAGGGCAATGTACAACGCCAAGTATTAAAAGAAATTGAGATTCAATCACGTCTCAAACATCCGCATATTTTACGTTTATTGACGTGGTTTCATGACAACGATCGCATTTACTTGGCTTTGGAATTGGCGTCACAAGGTGAACTTTTTAAGATTCTGCGACGTGCCCCACATCGGCGTTTCGATGAACCGAGAGCAGCAAAATATACATATCAAGTTGCGGATGCTTTGCACTATTGTCATTTGAATAATGTTATACATCGTGATTTGAAGCCGGAAAATATTTTGTTGACCGCATCGGATGATGTCAAATTAGCGGATTTTGGTTGGTCTGCTCATACCAGACAGAAGTAAGACATATTTTCTTTATAATTTAAATGATTTTTAACAATTCTTTTTTTAAGTCGCAAAACTTTATGCGGCACTTTAGATTACTTGCCTCCTGAAATGGTTGATGGTCGCCATTATGATGATTCGGTCGATCAATGGTGTTTGGGTATTTTATGTTATGAATTTTTAATCGGTAGTCCACCTTTCGAGTCGAATGACACTGAGATGACTTACGAAAAGATTCGTCGTTTAGAAGTTCATTATCCGAATTTTTTGTCCACTGGTGCCAAAGATGTTGTTTCGAAATTGTTGCGCAGAGCGGGCAGTTCGCGTCTAACTTTAGTTGATGTTATGCAGCATCCTTGGGTTAAATACAATATGGAGAAGCGTAATGCTCAACTTGAAGAAATGATAGCGAAACAGTGATGATTATATTCGCTAACTTTAAAGTGTGAAATGCAATCGATTTGCTTTTATTAATTTTTAAATAAATTTTGTTAATTAGGTTAATTGATATGTATTGAAATAAAATTGTATTATTTATGTTTAATTTAAAATAAACTATTGAAATTTAAAATATTTTTTGTTGCAATATTAGAAAATTTTCTTAAATCGAAATGATGAAAAAGTTTTTCTAAGTTTTAGAAAATTTTCCATGAAATAAATATTTAACTTTTTATATGAGATAAAAAGGATAATTTATCGATTATTTGTATACTATACACCCTTTTTTGTCTTAAGGACGAAGCATATTGAAAATAGTTAAAAATATGTAGATTTTTTACCTATACAAGCATTGAACATTTCACTTATAAACACTAAAAATATATGAGAAACGATCCATTTTTGCAACTAGCCCTCTTTTCAAACCTCAAAAAGTTAGTTTTTCGTCAATAAATGTCCTAAATATACCGGAACCACGCTAAAATTCAATATATCTATGTATATAATTTTAAAAATTTTATCGGTGAAAATTAATTTAATGAATTGTCTATTTTTGTATTGTCTTTGCCCGTTTCACCTTTTTCTAATACCGAACTTGAAAGGCTTTTTATATCAGACTATAATTAAAATTCGAAATCGTATTTAAGCTGAATTTTTATGTTCAATAATACAAATTCGAATAGAATTGTATTTCGAAAATGCATGCTGTTACACTTAGGGCTTTAATAATAAACAAATTTTAATTTATTACAAGTTTTATAAATCAAATTTTGTATTGAAATTTAGTATTAGTATTAAAAAATTAGTATTAAAAAATTATATTACAAATAAAATACGATCATTTGAAAAATATCAAAATGAGGATTACGATGAAGATATAGTACCAGAAATATTGGAGTCATGCACTACATCATCAGTATTTTAATAAAAACTAGAAAAAACAAACAATTATATTGTATTGTTAGATTAAAAAATTTTAGCACTTTTTTTCTTCCGTAGAACATTTTAGCACTTAGTTTTTCAAGTTTTAGCATATTTTGAAATTCATTTTCTGGCAACACTGGATACAGATAACAGCTTAATTACAATTGGAACCACAACCGCTGTCGACAATGAGTTTTCATACATTTTGTATGGAGAGCAAAATATCGTCTCTGGAGATCCTCTCATTTTTATCATATTTTCATCTTGTAGCGATGCCATATGTTCATAATATTTTGCTAAAAATCTTGCAAAAATTGGGTTGTCATAATGCGCAATTTCGCCATGTGTTATTATTAACAGAAGATATTAAATGAAAATAATAAAAATTAAAATGCGAAAACATATTGTTTTGTTTCTTTTACTTTATTCTGAATAATTTTTTAACCATTCCTATTTATTTCTTAAAAAATAATTCTAATTTTAAACAAAAACATCATTTTGCTTTGATTTTTTCTAATAAAAGTCAGAAAATGTGGTCTGTCGACAGTCGCTTAATTTTAATACGTCGCTTGCTCTTTTTTGTGGTTTGTCGACAGAGGTTCCAATTGTAATTAAGCTGTAATGCCAAGAAAATTAACCTTGCCACTACTATTTTCAATGGAACGTAAAGTATGGCATTTTGTTGTGAACACCGCCATCTGGCAGCACTATAAAATTTGAAAGCCGACGCGCAGCGGGCTTTTTCTACTGACAATTCTACAGAAAAAATAAATACTTTATAATTAAAAAAATAACTAATTAAAATGTACAAAACAAAGTCCAAACCACCGAATAGGAACGATTTGCCACAATTAATGAAAGATGTGCCGGAAGAACATAAAGAATATGTAACAAAATTGTGCAAAAAAATGCTACAGCATCAGGCGTATGGACAACCGTAAGTAAATCATAGGAATACCAGAAAAGGGTATTATAATTACTTTTGTTATACTTAGTTATGAATGGACAACAGCCGATTTTGAAATGGGTGCTCACTTGGGCCGTGGCAAATTCGGTCGTGTTTATTTGGCCCGCGAGCGCAGCAGTCATTATATGGTGGCCATGAAAGTTCTCTTTAAGGAAGAGTTGCGCAAAGGCAATGTACAGCGACAGGTTTTACGCGAAATCGAAATACAATCGCGACTAAAACATCCGAATATTTTACGTTTATTGACATGGTTCCATGATAAGGAACGTATTTACATGGCCTTAGAGTTGGCCTCCCAGGGAGAGGTCTATACAATATTACGAAACTCACCAAATAATCGCTTTGATGAACCGAGAGCTGCTAAATATACTTATCAAGTCGCCGATGCTTTGCACTATTGTCATTTGAACAAGGTAATACATCGTGATTTGAAACCGGAGAATATTCTGTTGACGGCATCGGATGATGTAAAGTTGGCGGATTTTGGTTGGTCAGCTCATGCGGTATCGAATAAGTAAGTTGACTTTTTTGTTAATCACTTTTCAGCGGTTATACTTATTCTCTTTTCCATCGCTATTTAGACGTAAAACATTTTGCGGTACCTTAGATTACATACCACCCGAAATGGTAGATGGTCGTACCTATGATGATGCGGTGGACCAATGGTGTTTGGGTATTTTATGTTATGAATTTCTAGTGGGTGCTGCACCTTTCGAATCAAACGACACCGATAAGACTTATGAGAAAATTCGTCGGGTAGAAGTAAATTATCCGCCACATTTGACGGTGGGAGCTAAAGACGTCATATCGAAATTGTTGCGTAAATCATCAAGTGATCGTATTACATTGGTGGGTGTAATGCAGCACTCTTGGATTAAGCAGAATATGGAAATACGTAATAATCAATTGGCAATAAAGGAGGCACAAGAAAAGTAATTTGTAATTTTTATGTGAATTATACAAAATTTATTTTTTTCCCAAAATATTAGATTAAGTTATGTTGCAAGTTTAATAAAATACATTTTAAAAAGACTTGTTTTTCGATTACGTTTTCGCATTCAGCAACGAATGTAATGATAAGAAAAATAAGAAGCAAATCCCATTTGCTTCAATGCTTTTCGATTTTGTGATCGTATCTTCCTTCATTTTAACTTTTTAGTTTAGTGAAGGAGCGTCGAATCGAAAGCCAGAATATCCAAGCGAAAATTTCGATTCGAATTGTAGAATAGGGGTGAATAACACCCCGGTAGTCTAAAAGTATTATACCAATCGAATTTTAAATTATTGTACATGTGGAACGCCCGGATGATAAGTGTTTGTAGCATACTTTAAGGCAGCAAATATTTTGCAATAATTTAATAGAGTGGCCATTCTAAATTAAAAACCGCAATTTAAAAAGGTTTATAAAATATTTATACGAAAAGTATTAGATTAAACGATTTCAAACTTCAAGAATTTTTTTCAATATTCAATTTGGTTAATAAAAAACCAATAGCCTTGCTTCTCACACCCCTATTTAGAAAACCATTAAAATGTTTATTTGCCATTTTGAAATAACTTTAAATGCACAAAGACGTTGCTCTGCAAATATATTTAATTTCTTAGCTTGTTTCAAAAAAGTTAAGAACTTAAAAACAACTGCGCCACTTAGTTTAAAATATAATTATGTTTTTGTTATTATTAGTAATAATTATTGCAATTCTTAACAAGTTGTAGAGGCAGTTTAAAGAAATATAAAGGGAGGAGAGTGGGTTGCAGGGGATTGAAGGTGTGTGGTATAGTCTAGAGAGGATGTCTTTTTGTTTCGTTTAATTTCGTTTTTAAAACTAAATTAAAAAATAGGTATTGTTCTACAGTGAAGAAAAAAAAAAACTGACCTTTAAATTGTTTTGTTTTGTATGTTTTTGTTTGTTTTTCTTATTAATTTGTTTAAATAATTTTTAACATTATTAATTTAATAAAAGTGTAATTTGTAGCTCTTGTTGTTGTTTGTATAATAGCTGAGATGATGTTGTTTCTTGTTTTTTCTCTTACACACTTAATTTGAGAGTTGTTTTCTGTTGTTGTTGTTGAAGTAATATATTTTGTGAACAAAAGAACGGAGTTGGTTGGTTTTGTTTTCTTGTTGTTGTTTGTTTTTTTATTTGGTAGTGTTAGTATTAATTAAAAAAAAAACTTAAGAATTGGTGTTGGTGGTTTAGGCTTCCAATTCCAAAGCGACACCGATCTTGTGGCCACCGGCATTGAAGTTCTTGCCATCGATCAAAGTGGAAAGAGTGAGTGTAATGCCATCACGCAATTTTTGTTGATAGCCCAAACCGACTTGGCAGTTGTTGTTGACCTTGGCGCGCAAAGCGGCATCATGATCCAATTGATATTTGCCACCCAAACCGAATTTGGTGTTGTTGGTACCAGAGGTCCAGGACAATTGTACACCAACATCGATTTTGTCGGAGCATTTTTGGAAGATGGAACCGCTGAATTCTTGGCCATCATTGCTAAAGTTAATAGGAAAACGAAATAAATTAATTAAAATTTTTGTTTTCTATTGAAGTATTCTTTAATACTTACACAGCTGTATGCAAGACAAAGTCCTTTGTGGTGTAGCCCAAAGCGAAGTTGTTCTTGGTCAACTTGGTGTTTTTGGTATCGAAAGCGGTTTGGTAACCAGCCAACCAACCTTCATAACCCAAAACGGCGGAGGCATTGATCAAGGGACCGTTCAAGTCAACATTGACATCGGAATCGACCTTGACGTTTTCATGGCCATAGCCGACCTTGAATTTGCCAGATTTGTTGCCGGATTGGGGAGCGAAGGAACCTTCGAAAGCCAATTTCAAACCTTCCAACAATTTGTCTTGTACGGCCACCTCAGTGAAGAGAGTGTTGTCTGTGTTCCATTTTTCGGTCAAAGTCAAACCGTAATCGGAGACTTTGTATTTGGTTTCCAAAGAACCGAAAACTTTGCCGGATTCTTGATTGGATTGACCACCAGTGCTGAATTCAATGCCGGAGGCAGTCTTGGTTTTGCAGTCCAATTTCCACAAACCAAAGTGATAACCTTTGCCAAAGATATCACGAGCTTGTTTACCCAAATCAGAGAATGATGGAGGAGCCATCTGGAAAAAAAAAAGAGAAAAGAAACATTTAAAAAAAAGGAAAATGTTATTTTTGTTCAAAGGATGAACTAATAAATAGAGAATATAAATTATATAGAAATATGTATTAGAGAAATTAAGTTTCTAAAGGCCTTTTTTCAGAAACATGAAAAAAACTAATTTTTTAAAATATTTTGTGGAAATTATTAAAAATATTACAAAAATCTACAAGATTTGTATATATAAGTTTAATAATGTATTGTTCTATTCTATTCTACTATTCACTAAAAGTTTATTGCTAAATGGAAAAATAAATATATTTACAAAATGTCAGCAGTTTAAAAACAACTAGACTTAATATCAAGTTAAAATGCTTATGATAATGATAGACAAGTCAGCCTATTAAAATATAAACTATTTAACAATTAATAAATTTAACAAACGTTTTTTATTAATTAAAAACTAGAAAAAGAACTTAATAATGACGTTAATTTAAAAATTTCAGTTTTTATTTTAGATTTTTTTTTGTAAAAAGCGAAAAAGCCAACAGTTCAATGAACGTGTAAATGCAATCATGTCTAGCGCGTGCATTTTATTTTTAGATAATGTGTGTGTAAAGAGTAGGAAATAGTTTTTTTAGACTTTTTTTATTATTGAATGGCAAAAAAAGCCGGTAATTGTAATTATTTTTAAAAAATAATTTTATTTTCAACAAAAATTTATTTTAATGTAAAAGAATTTAGTAAAATTTCTTTAATAATTATCTAAACAAGCTTTTTAGGTCATAGTTATTAGAGATAAATTACTCATACATGAAATTTTCTTATATAATACTAAAAAAATCTTTTAAGCACCGCAGAATATAGAAAAGAGAAAAAATATTTAGCAGAACAACCAACCAGCCAAGCAAAACTTATACATAATTCTTAAAGCAACTCATAAACTAAAGCACGTGATACATAGTTTTTTGTATTAACACTAAACAGAGTTGAAGGGACAAAATTTTGAGCTGTCAGCAAAATGTAAGGACATTTTACTCATATATTCGAACATAATTAAAGCATTTTACCTTAATTCCGAAATATTTTCCAAAAAAATTATTCTCTGAAAGGGGTGGTTATATAGGGCCAAATGTAAATATGGTCCTATCTGTAGGGTAGAAGGGGGACCATACGCCACTTTTTTTTTTGAGGCGGCCTCAAATTAAAACCACAATACATATTCTTTATTCTTTTCTTGTTTCGGATACTTAGATATGTTGGCTTTAGTTTTATCCCTTTCAATCTTTCCTAAGTCATCCTAATGTACATATTTTTTTAACTTTTCTGAACTGACCAAAAACGGTGATACCGCCCCATCCATGGGGTAAATACGCCAAGAGGATGGGGCAGATTTGTCATTAGTAAAATCAACCAAAAAATTTAAAAAATAAAAACTTATTTCGCTGTTTTATATTTTAATTCATTTAACAAAGTATAATAAACCAGATATTTATTGTTTATTTCACATAACTTAACAAAAAAATTAAAACAAATTATTATTGATTTTTTCTATATTTTAACCAAATTTTGTTCTACATCACAAGCATTACATATATTCTGGGGTTTAGTTTTAATTTTTTTCGGGCTTCAGATTATATTATCGAAAAAATTATTATGTCTTATTGTTCACTATTATTGACGTTCTATCACTGATCAATATATTTTTTCTATCACAAAAACTAAAAAAGTTAGCACAAAAAATTCACACAGTGAAATATTTTCACAGCCCTTTGAAAAACAATTAATCTCGTCTGCCTCCCATCATATATAAAGTTAATCTTTCAAACTTTCAGGGATGATAGATAATCGATAAACGAAAACAAAATTCGATAATGCGATAAAATCGATTACTCGGTTTTCAAGTTATTCGCTATTGGCAGATGTGCCCCTATGGCGTATGATCCCCCTTCTACCCTATAAATTTTGGTAGTGCCATTTACGATGATATTAAAGTTATTTATGCAGAATTTCATCGTGATACTACAAGTCATTTTCTGATGGAGACTTTTTATGGGGGCTAGTGTCTAATTAGGCCCGATTATTGCAAAAATCTGCAGTATCATTTAAACTTATATAAAACTAAGATTTGTGGATTTTTGTAGAGATTCTACAACATTTAACGTAATTATAGGCTCAAAAAGCCCTATTCGGGGTGATGGACCGATTTCAACCATTTTCCAAAGGCTTCGTCCTCGTCAATATTTTCTTCTAATTATCTTGAAAATTGGGACCTGTAGCGTGCGCTCATGGACACACAGACAGACGGACATAGCTAATCGACTCAGGAAGTGATTCTGAGCTGACTGGTATACTTTAAGGTGGGTGTGGGACCAATAGTTTTGGGTAGGGTTCTATAAATCGACTTTCGAATAATCGAACAATCGACTTTTTGTCGAAAAAAGTCGAAGTCGACTATTTTGTTCCATAAAAGTCGATAACTCGACTATCGTCTGTGAAAAAAGTCGACTTTGTGAATAAAAGTCGAAAAGTCTGAAAGTCGAAAAAAGTCGATAAGTCGAAAAAAGTCGAATAAAGTCGAAAAAAGTCGAAGAAAGTCGAAAAGAGTCGAGAAGTCGTAAAAAGTCGAAAAGTCGGAAAAAGTCGAAAAATCGAAAATTGTAGAAACAGGTCAAAAATAGTCAAAAATTTTAAAAAAGTGGAAAAAAAGTCAAAAACTCTAAAATAGTCGGAAAAACTCGAAAAAAGTCAAAAAATAGTCGGAAAAAAGCAGAAAGTCGAAAATAGTCAAAAAGTCGAAAAAATCGAAAAGTCGAAAAAAGTCGGAAAAAGTCGAAAAGTCGGCTATTTATGAAATACTTATAGTCGAAAAGTCTAAAAGTCGACTTTTATTTAAATGAAAAAAGTCGAAAATTCGACTTTTAACTAAATGAAAAAAGTCGAAAAGTCGACTTTTCGTTTCAACTATAGAACCCTAGTTTTGGGTGTTACAAACATCAGCACAACCTCATAATACTCTCTCTACTATAGTGGTGTAGGGTATAATTATATTTTAATGATTCCTCATGATATGGAGATTATTTTATCTTATACCTTTGTAACTGAGAATATCGAGACTGCTCTGGCCCACTCTGACAACAGATAGGACTAGGAGTCCCTTATCTCTTGACTGTCCAGCCTTACAAGAGCACAGACTACTCTATCTGGGTAGAGCTCTTTTCCATGATCTAGACTGTCTCAGAGATGTGTCACTAATAAACATGATCGGTTTTATTAAAAGCACCGGCTGGTTCACATGGAGACCGAACGGACCAAGTAGTCAACGAAATTAGGGAGGGTAACCATTCTCTCATCGCTAGGGAATGGTAATTCTAAGGGTATAACAATGGGCCACAAGGCCTCCGAGTGAACTCGCTTGCTAGCGAGCAACCCACGTAACCTAACCTAACCTTTGTAACTGAGTACTAATTTAAGAATTCTTAGTTAGATTAACATTAACTAACTGCTTTGTGGTTAAAAAATTTGCACCAAGAATAACAATTTAGGGTTAAAACAAAAATAATAAAAATAAAACAAAGACCACAAAATATATGTATGCACGAGTATATAAAAACAAATATTTGTTTTATTAAGTGCACAACAACAAATTTAGAAAATATTTAACAAATATAAAAAGGTGTTTTTTTTTGTAAAACAACAACTAATATAGAAAAATATGAAATAAGCAAAAGAGAACAAAAATGGAAAAAATAAGATTTTTTTTTTTTAACAACAAACTTTAGATATTCTTGTACCTCTGGCAAAGGGTTAGAAATGTGGAAAAAGAGAAAGGAAAAGAAATATTTAATATTAAAAAAACACAACAAAAATTTGTTTTTCATAGTTTGGCAACTAATGACAAAAAAATAAAGGCAGAAGAACAAACATGATAATGATGATGTAATCACAAGCCAATCATTTATATTATAGAGGAAAATTAAAGAAAAATTTTAAAAATTAAGAAAAAAATCCTTAAGCAAAAACACACACCACACACACTTGCCTCATTACAGTAATCTTCATCTTGATAAATTAATAAATCTTTATTGAATTTTCTAACATTATTAACATAATTTCTAGCTGATGAAAACCAAGTGGCTGGCTGAAAATAAAATGTGGCTAAAATACGCAAGGGTGTTGGTTTCTTATCTTTAATAACATTGGCTTTAGAATCCACTATAGTGGTTGTCATAATTGTTATGTTTTTTTTTTTGTTTGTTTAGTTAAAGAGTTAAAAATTATTACACAACTTTAAAGTACTTTCTTTTTTTCGCTATTTTACACATATTAACTATAATTGTAAAGGTTAGTATGATTATTTTGGTATTTTAATATTTTTGTTTTTTAGTTTTTAAAGGTCACGCAAGTGTTTTTTTTATTATGATTTATTTTTTTTTTATTTGTGTTATAAGTTTATTTATAAGTTCTTTGTTTAACGTACTTTTTTTATTTATGGTTTTTGTTTTTGTGTTTTATAGTTTAATTACTTTCACTATTTGTTTTAGAATTTTATTTTTTTTAAATAAAATTTCAATTCTTTTTTTTATAATGCTGCACCACCTTGCTTGCAAACAGCAACAAAAGACAACTGTGCCAGCTATATAAATTTTGTAAATTATTTACAGCTTTTGCGTTTCAATATATTTTTCTTTAGTTTTCTATTTCCTCTACTTTCTAAGGGGTGAAAATTGTTTCGTTGCTTGAATTTTCACCCTGCCTTGTATTAGACAACAAACAGCTGTCCTACATACACCATAAATATCATTCACCACTAGTCAAAAACTAAGAGGAAAACAATAGTTTTATGCTCTACACCCCCCGCCCCCATCCCTAAAGGCAACCATGAAGAAATTCTTGTATTATTGATTTTTTGTTTAAATTTATTGTGACGTCACCATTTTGTGCATTCTAATAGGAATACTCATTAAAAGAAGTGTTAAAAATAAAAAAAAATTACATATTTTCTTTGATTGACAAAGAGTGTTTGTTTTATTTGGCTGATAACAATACAAATTTTTTTTTAATAAATGACTAATAATTTATAATAAAAAATCAACACAATAAGTTAACAATCAATAAGTATGAGCTGATTAATTCAAACCTCGTCGAAAACAATTAAAATTTGGTAAAATATTGTTGAAATTTTTATTTCGAAATTGAAAAATTTAAAGAAATTGGCTTCAAATTAAACTAAAATTATAATTTTTATAATCTTCATTATTTGGAGATTATTTTAATAGCTTTAAAATTTTTTCGAACTTAACTTCGAATTTTCGAACATGACCTAAAAATGTGAAATGCTGTATATAAATTGAAAATACTTCTAAATCCTTAAAAATTGGGTGGTTATATTCAAAGTTTCTATGTTCGAAAGGGAAAACTTTAGTAAATTTGGAGATTTAAGGATTATTTCACATAATTTTAAAAATAATTTCAAAAATATTCATGAGTTTTAAAGTGTTTTTATAATATTTTAATTTAATTTAATTTAAAATTCATGAACATTTTTGAATTTGTGATCTATGTAGGAAATTCTTGAACAATTTTGAAAAAAAAGAACCAATATATTTTTATGAATCCTTATGATTTAAAAACTATTTTAACAGGGCTGGCGTTTTTTCGAATTTAACTTTGAATTTACGAAACTACAGTTAAAATACTTTAAAATTCATATACCTATTAAAGTCTATGTTCGAAATTTAATATTTTTCTTTGAATTTTCGAACTTAGCTTAAAAAACTTGTGAACCTTTATTAAAAATACTTGCATATTCCTGTAATTTGGGAAATTATTTTCAAAATATTTAAATTCGAAATTAAAAAAATACAATAAATCGGTCTTAAATACATAGAACTTAAATGATATAGAGGGAGATTTAACAGCTTTATAAGCTCATAAAGCTTTAAAAGTTTTCGAATATAACTTTGATTTTTTTCAAGAATCATTATGATCTATTGTTATTTTCGTAAAAATCCATAGAACTTTCGAACAGAATGCCGAATTTTTGAATTTAATTTTAAATGATTAAAAATTCGGCATTCTTAACTTTTTTAAAAAATAAAATAAACTAAGTTTAACAAACTAGTAAAAAAAACTATTGGTAAATTCAAACTAACACATCTGCATACAATTTGTGAAAGTTTCTAAAAATAATTAACATATTCAAAAGTGGATGTGGGAGTAAAAGAACAACTGCTTAAATCATGAAAGTTATAAAACTTTAAAGATATATTTTTCATAAAATTTTACTTATAAATATCTAAAATTTCAATAAAAAAAATGTCCAAAAATTTTTACATAACACAATATTATGCATATTTTATCATATTTATAGCTAAACTGTTAAGGGGAGGGGAACAAACAACAAATAAAAAGGCAAACAGACTCAACAAACTAAATTGATATTAATAACTGACAATCACACTAAAGATCTGCAGAACAAACCATAATCAAAATATTTTTTTAAAGGGGAAGTGATAAAGATATACAGTATATCAATTATATTTAAATATTACTACAATATTAGCTTAGATAATGCAAAACAACTATAAAAAAAAATTTAACCTAAATGATTATAAAAATAATAAAAAGTGTATAAACATAAAAACAAACAAATGGAAATAAGATTAGTAAGCAGATAAGAAATATACAATAAATGAAAAAAGGTGCGAAATTTATCAAAAGAACAAAACAGATATTCACATGATTAAAATGGACCTAAAAAAAGACTACACAAACAGGTTCTGGAATATTCTTCAAAAAAAATATCACACCATTCTTAAATTATCAATAAATTTACAACAAAATTGTAATAATATTTATAAAAAACATTTTAAATTTGAAAATAAAGAAAATAAGAAAAATAAATTTCCTTTTCTGTGTAATAAAAAGTGAAAAACGACTGTTACGTAATTGGCGCAATGAACAAGTCTCTTTAGTTTTTTTTCTTTTTAAGTTTCAAAAAGGCAGAGGTCTACGCGAACAGCGCAGCTAGCAGAGCGCTAGGCAGTAGTTTATTTTTTTGGTATAAAAGTGATTGACCGGCTAACATGCGTTTAACAATGTTCCGGCAGCTATCTAATAGAATATTGTAGATAAATTTGTAATTAAAACTTTAATTATTGTCTTTAGATAAATTGACATGACTAAATAACAACTAATTTTACATTAAATTTACATTGTTTCTCTTAAAACATGATTTCTTTAGACTACATGGCATGATTTTTCCTCATTATTTTCCATTTAGGGAAAAATTTTCATTCAAATTTCATACTTTTTGTTCGTCAATTTTCATCTGCAGAGCTTATACACACTCTCACACACATTTACACTCGATACACACATCACATTTTTTCTGCTGCTGGCTTTTTTTCGATTGTCGATTTCTTTTCTAGGTTATGAAATCACTTTGATAATTTTTCATTTTAATTTTTCGCTGTAGATTTTGTAAAGTTAAAAAAAAAAGATTGCAATTGTTTTTCTTGAAAATGTTCACACTTTATTGCTATCTGTTCATTCTTTTATTTGTATTATTAATTATTTTTTTCTAATACTTATTACTTACTTTTATTCAAATGTATGTTATTTGCAAAGCGAGGAACAAGTACGACCACGAACAACACCACAAAAGTAATGTAACAATTTTTGCAAAGTGAAATATGAAATTAGACATTCGTTACTCGTTGTTTTTGTTCTTTTCCTTACTCGTTGAAAAGTGACAAATTAAAGGTATTGCCGGATGTTTTGTTTTCATGTTAAAGTTGCCAGTTGTCTAATAGTTAGTGTGAATTTCGAAATGAATAAATCTAGCACAGTGGTATAGAGAATTATAAAGGGAAATAAATCGGTAACTTTTAAATAGTTATTCCGATTTGAATAAAATCTTACTTGTGAAGTTTATGTTTTGAATTCCACATTTTCATCAACCGTACTCCCGTTTTTAGATAATTGCGGGTACAAATATTTTCCGATTTCCTACACTTTTTATTTTATTGGTCTAACAAATATATACATACATATGTATATCAAAGATGTTTAATATTTTCTACTTAAATTATCATGTCAAAAGGACAAGGAAAAGGTAGATAGATAGATAGATAGATAGATAGATAGATAGATAGATAGATAGATAGATAGATAGATAGATAGATAGGTAAATAGATAGATAGAAAGATAGAGATAGAGATAGATAGATAGATAGATAGATAGATAGATAGATAGATAGATAGATAGATAGATAGATAGATATATAGATAGATAGATAAATAGATAGATAGATAGATAGATAGATAGATAGATAGATAGATAGATAGATATATAGATAGATAGATATATAGATAGATATATAGATAGATAGATAGATAGATATATAGATAGATAGATAGATAGATAGATAGATAGATAGATAGATAGATAGATAGATAGATAGATAGATAGATAGATAGATAGATAGATAGATAGATAGATAGATAGATAGATAGATAGATAGATAGATAGGTAGATAAATAGATAGATAGATAAGTAGGTAGCTAGATTTTTTTTATCTTAACAATAATTACAAAATAGAAAGATTGAGAAAATTTATGAAAAATTAATAAGATACATTATTTAAACATATACAAATGTTCATGAATAATTTGTTTTCAAAAACAAACAAAATAACAACAATCTTAAAAAAACACTAGATTTTTCTATTTAAAAAATCTCAACACACGTGAGTAAAAATATATACAAAATACTAAATGCAACGTAAAAAACATGTTTATTATAGAAGAAAACAAAATTTCATTATTAACTTAAAAGATACACATATTCGTTAAAAATAGACTGAATAAAAGAAAAAATATAAAAAGAGGAAAATACGACACACATACGATCAATATTGAAAAACAAAACAACATAAGAATCTGCAGTTTTAATTAATTCATTTTATTTAATCGAACACAACGTTAAGGATAGATTGTCTTATTTTTAAACAATAAATACAAATTAAATAAATTTTTTTCTTCACAAAGAGTTATTAGAAAATTCTGCAAAAATAATTGAATTACAAGAATTAACCACGAATATTCCAAATAAACCGTTAAATCGGCCAGTTATTAATGTAACACCCATGAGTGCTAAACAAAACAGTTGTGGTGAAATGTTTAAATCACGTATTGAATTCAATCCACGCTTTGGTCGCAGTCTCGTAACTAGCGAACATGTCCGTAAGAGTGAGGTGGTGGTCGATGAACTTCCCTTTGCCTGGGGACCCAAACAGAATAGCGGTATTGTGTGTTTAGGTTGTTATCGTGATCTACAATTCGATGAAGATGGTGACTCCATGGATCGTTGTGCTAAATGTGATTGGCCGTTGTGTGGTGAATGCGAAGAATCGCGAGATCATCAGGGAGAATGTAAGATTTTCTCCGAAGCAAATGTTAGATTTGCTGGTAATGTGGGTGAAGATGGTGTCTGTACCCAATTGGATTGCATAACACCTTTGAGGTTAGTATATAATAGGGATTGTGAAAAGTAAATTTTGTTTCTGGTGAATTTTTACATTATTAGTTAGAAATTAATTGTTTACAAAATTTAAAATTGCT